TCCTATCTAACTCTTCGGTCACCCCTGCCATCATGAACTCTGTATTCGGCCTGCTGAAAACTGACAAGCATCTCATTGCCAACCCCGCTACTTCCTCAACCAAATCCAACGGCCAATTACCTCCCACTTCATCCAAAACCTTAACTAGAACCGTCCGATTTATCATCATTGCTTCTTCAACAAGACCAATCCAATTCCTCCCTGTCAATAAATGCATTAGCAAAACACCAAAAGCTCGAATATCCAACCTCACATCAATTTCCTCATGATTTGGACTAAACCTAAGCCCAGTGATCTTTGCAACAAGATTGCGATCCAAGAGAATATCAGATGCAGTGAGTTGGCCATGAGCGATGGGCTTAGGTTTAGCAGAATGGAGAGTTGTCAAACCCAAAGAAACCTCATGGGCTATTCGGATTCGTTCATGCCATTTTAGTACCCGATTTCTTTTCCTTGAACTCGTTTGAGAAGCTAACAAAATCTCCCTCAAGTTACCATTGTGCATGTATTCAAAAACTATGCTCTTGGGCTCAGTACAAAATCCCATCACTGCAACCAAATGTGGGTGCCTGATTTTGTGAAGGAGCTCCACCTGCATAATCAAGTTAAACCAATATCAAGAACTGCCTATATTTAGGTCACAATGTATGGTTAGTTACCTTGGCTAGGAAATCATGTTGAGACACATCATGAACTGAATTTATTATCTTGATTGCAACAGTTGCATTGTCGATCCGTCCACGGTACACATTTGTCCAATCGCCACTAGATTTCAACCTCATATGCTCTGAGAAGTTATCGGTAGCCAGTTTGATATCCTCGGCCATATATTCTCTATAATTACAAATTAACTCGTTTGGTTTTGGAACTGTCCCAAGAGTATCTTTTTCTCGACAGAACTCAATTCTACGGAAAAAAATATCTCTTTGTCGTCTTAAATCCTCAATTTGTTTTATCATTTCCACTCTTGCAATAGCTGTCTCCTCTAATTTATCTTCAGCATGTGCTATTGCAGATGATGATAACTTCAGCTTGTTTAAGACTTCGGATTGAAGTTGTCTTTGTGAAATTAGTTGATGTTTACTCTGTTCTACATCTCTCATAGCCTTGTAGATCTCTTGTCTTTGAGCATTTAAATTTTTTTGTATTATTGTCCTCTTAACAACCTCTTTGTTTATCCGAATTTCGAGCTCTGCAACCTTTAGTTACAATTTAGATGAGTGATTCTTTAGCAACAATATCCAGAAAAATTAAAATAATTGACTCAAGATTAAGCCAAGAACATTTCTACAATACCCGGTTATTGCATAATCTTATAGTCCATTCAGCTTTAGATCTTCTTTCTGCACTAGCCTTGGCATCTTCTTTGTTTGTGTGAATCTTCTGGTAAGCTTCATCTATTCTACTTTCCAAATACTCAATCTTCTTTGCAACACTCTGGCATCAGCTTTGAATTTACCATTCAATTATATTATATTAATAATAATGATCAAGAAATTTGATATCGAGATTATAGTAACTAACATATTTGACAGATTGAACAAGAGAAAAACAATAGAGTGTGCTGTAAGTTGTAATTCAATGAAATTGAAGAAAAGGGTTGGAAAATTTTACAAAATCTGGTTATATAACGTCAGATGTTGGCTCAAGAAATGCAGGCCATTTTCCGGGAAAAACAAGACCGTGAGTACTTATTTTCCAAGAAAACAAACAAACAGACAAAAGAAACATTTACATATTAATTTTGCCATCCCCATCACTGGCCTCAAGAGTCAAAGAACTAGACAAACATAATATTTATAGAATACTATTTGTTGACATCACCTAAGTGGACTTATATGATATGAACATAAAATCATGATTGCTCGGAAAACTTTTCTGTTATTAGGGTCAATTATATCGCATACCAATCTCCATTAATATGATAAAAATTTCATTCTATGAATTCTGTTCATCTCTGAAAATGAAATATAACATCATATTAGTAAATACTCGTTAGTTTAACATGATTTCTTCCATGTAGTAAAGCTCTTACCGCAGTTTCTGGTATGTTCAGCTCAATCTTGGTAGAATCATTCTCTAATCTCTCTTTCTCAAAAGCTGTTTCTTCATCTTCATCCAAATTCGAGGACAGCAATTGCTGCAAATAATTTTCAATCTCCTGAACATATCTATCCCAATCACTTACCGGACCGGCCGAACTCGAATTTTCTGATGGATTAGCACTTTGATTCTCGAAGAAAAATTTTCCTAGCCAACATTTGAAATTACCCTTTTCTTTCATCTTTGCGACTATGATTCCTGCGTGATCATGATAATCATCCTTGATTGATTCATTATTAATTTCTCCTCTGAGCAGAACCAGTTTTCCTCCGCATATTATGAACAGGTCACAGAAATCAGGCTTTTTCTGATGAACATAGAATGAACCACCGAGTGCACTCTTCGATCTCCTATAAAAACAAGGGTAAAGTGTGTGTGTGTGTATATACCATATACACGTATATATAAAGTAATGAAAATAACTAATAATAAAATGTAATTAACCAGAAGTAACTAAATAATTTCGCACCATGATGAGGATTTCATGAAGGTAATGTCCATAACCAGTTTTGTAATTCTGAGTCCAGAGATCAAATCTACTATGAGCTTATGAATCGGTTCATCATACATTTCAACCTTTAATGTCTCTGCTTTTACCTATATATAACAAAAGAATACATGAGAAACCTATTAAAATTCTAATTCTTTACGTAATTTTAAATTAGACCCATATAAATTTAACATCAAAGAAACTGTTCAACACCAAATTTCAGAGAAAAATTTCTGATCAAACCCAGAAATGCAGTGATAAATTCTAATCAGACCCAGAAACTTTAACACCAAAAAGAAATTGTTAACACACAATCGCAGAGATAAATTCCACTTAAGACTCTGAAAAATTTTGTGTGAGACCGAAATTGCAGAGGAAGATTCTAACTAGACCCAGAACTTCAGAGGTAAATTATATTTAAGCACCCGTAGAAATTAACATAAAAGATTTAGAAAATCCAGATGCAAAGATGAATTCGACTTAGATTAGAATAGGAAAATAATCTAATTAGACAGATTAAAATTAACATGAAAGAAGAAATTATGAGACCTTGCCGCAATAATTGATGTACTCAGACAATAACTTGTCCGTCTTTTCTTGCTCATACATCTTAATAACTTCCAGCTTCTCTTCGCTAACAGAGCTTGCAGGAAGCTTACCGACTGACACCAGAAGAAAAAGAAGCACAAGAAAGTAGATAAAATTAATGCTAACATCACATGGAGTGTAAAAAAAAGATGAAAATAATCAAAACCCATTTGAACTCAGGTTATATCATACCCAAATATAGATATATATGTATATATGTGTGTGTGTGTGTGTGTTGAGCTTACATGGAGTATAAACAAAATCCTTGGATATGTTGTAAGCAACATGAAGAATAACAATGGAGATCTGATGAGAATTCCTCCATTTATCGAGTACCCAATCCAAGGTCTTATATCCATCTTGCAGATCATTTCCAATAGCAACATAGATTTTCTCCACCTGATCAGACTCCATAACCACCAAGCTCTATGAAAGCTTAAGACTTTATTTAATTAGCTAATGACTATGCTTAATGGCTTTAATACAGTGTTTAGAAATATGCATTGACAACATTCATGTGTTAAATCAATAAATAACTAAATCAAGGGCAGGTCCACGTCGCTGAAAGTTTTTTTAATTTCTATTGAATTTTATATTCACTATTTTAAATTTTATTTATAAATTAATTGCGATTTGGAAAAGAAAATATTAGTTTGGTCCAATAAAAATATCAAAATTAAAATTTAATTTGAATGTTTCAAAGAAGTAAAAGACAGATTAAGCTTCAAGCGGCAATAATTTAATTTTTATGTATAAAATTTGTTATAAAAGAATTTATATTTATTTATCATTTGTTATAGGCTAACAACACATAGGGGGTGTAGCTCATATGGTAGAGCGCTCGCTTCGCATGCGAGAGGCACGGTGTTCGATTCCCCGCACCTCCATTTTGCGTCGAAAATACAGATCTCAAGTCTTTTTCGGAGCCCATTTTGTTATTTGTGAAGGCCCAATACGGTGCGTTTAATTTTCATCCCCCCACCCCTCTTTTTCTGGGCCCATTTTGTTCTGTGTGAAGGCCCAATACGGTGCGTTTAATTAGATTTTCATCCCCCCCTCCCCCTATTGGATTTCTCTTCGGATTTCACTTTTTTTTTATATATATAATTTTAATAAATGTCTATTTAAAAATTAGACCATTTAAATTAAATTTTATGAAAACTAAAAGTCAAAATTTTATAAATAAATTTAATTTATTTTTAAACTTAATAAATATGATTGATAATTAATAAAACCTTATCTACTCAATGACTGCAAATGGGAACACATTGAATTGCGGCTCAAGATCAACGTGATGATATTTAAAGATGTACGGTGAGATGAGTAATTAATTATTTACTGTGCTTAAATTAATTTTTACCAATTCAATCCCAAATTGTGTATCGCGGCTTATTTTTCTTTGACTTTTTTATTAATTCTCTGACTCGAAAATTAATTTACTTAATTTCTGGGTAAATTTTTTTTTTTTTTTTTCCTACTAAACTTTGAAAAATTTACTTTTTCAACCTGGGAATCCCAGTTTTCACTTTTGACGCCACCGTGGAGAAAGTTAAAGGGAAGCATTAAAATTTATGGGACGGCACGCAGCCAAAAAGTAAAAGAGATTAAATTTTTAATAATTAATTTTATTTGGGACAGAGGACGCACGTGCGTCACCGAAATTATCGACACAAATATTTCTACTAAAAGATGCTGTGCACGTGCTTTTCGGTCAATGGTCAAAAGCAGTGATTCACACGAGTCTTTCTTTGGACCTCCTCATTAATTAACTACATTTTATTATTAATTATTAATTAATTATCATTAATTAATTAATTAATTAATTAAGAGCAGACCAATAACAAGATACTTCTCTTAAAATCAATGGTAACAACGTTATTATGTAAACACCGTGTATAGAACATTTGGAAGTACATGTAGAGATATATATATATATATATGTATATGTATGTGTATGTGTATGTGTATATGTATATGTGTGTGGCGATGGAGATCATGATGACAAATAATCATCATATCCATATCATACATATCATGGAATTACATGTGTGTTGTATATTCTATGACACGTTGCCACGTGCAACCCAAGTGGCTTATCATTGAGAGGGAGCTAAAATACATGATACATTTATACGTACAGGAGTACTTTTTTTAATTTTGTTATTTGCTGATAAGTATATATATATATATATATATATATATATATATATAAAGATGGAGACGTGTGTGTAAGGTTTGTTATATATAATATACTAATTAATTGATATAATTTATAAAAATAATTATATAAAATAAATAAATAAATAATTCACATTCTATTCTATTTGTATGGGAAGCCATTACCACGTGTGATGTCACATGCCGTTAAAGGATGCAGCGGCAAAGTCAGCAAACCATGCAAGTTGGTGCCGCGAAGATAAGCACTAAAATACATTATATGGTATTTTGTAAAAAAAAAATAATAATATTATTTTTTTATTTTATTTTTACGTTTGAATTAAGTCATAAATATATTTGAATTTTTTAATATAAAAATTAATAAAATATGAAAAATAAATAAAAGATATTATTTTATAATTATAATTTTATAACATTAATTAATTATAAATTATTACACGCACCTTGATTGCTCAAAATATATAAAAGCTTATAATTAATAAATATAATTGTAATTAATTTAATGTAAAAAATAAATAAATAAATAATATAAGGTGGTAGGAATAATTTAATATATAAGTTGCACGGAGCGGAAGTAAGACAAAAGGATGGTAGTGGACACGTGTCGCGATCGCCAAAGGCGCAACGAGCGGCCACGTCCCGGAGTAAAATCAGACGGGTCCCAGAGGAGGCTTCCCATTAAATTAATTAATTAATATAATTTTTTTGGCTTACGTGCTTCATGTCGACCACCGATGCATGCCCCCACCAAATCACCGGACTCTACGTGTTTGTCCCACTTTTTCAACAGTGTCGGGCTACGTTATTGTTTTTTAAATATTAATTTTATTTATTTATTTTCTTAAACATACTTAGATTGTTAATTAATCAGGATTATTCGGGTGATTATTTCCTCAGTTAAATGAGTAATTAACTGTTAATGTCACTTTATGAGCTGTTTGAGTACGAGATAATCAACTCGTTTGACTTCACTTAAAATTCTCTTAATTAACTTGGCCAACTTTTGTAATTTTCAGTTTTTTTACTCAATAATATAAAATATATTTTAAAAGATTATGTCTAACCAAACTTGATTTTCTTAATTAACGTTTCTCTTAATTTAATCCCTTTAGTAATTAATCATATTACTCAACACATCTATTTCTCAATAGGTGATAATTTGCTTATATATATATATATATAAATAATTATAAAAATTTAAATATATGATGAATTTATTAATGACATTGGATTCGATGTAATTATTAAATAAAATAATAAATATGTAATTAATAATTAATAATAGAAGGAAGGGTGTCGGGATTAGGGGAGGGAGATGGTCTAGCAAAGAGGCAACAGTAGAAATACATTTACGGGCACTGCTTTACACACCCATTAACACCATTAATCACTTTGCTTAACCCTTAAATACTGGGTTTGCCTCCCCCCCCCCCCCCCCCCCTTTTCACTCTCCTTGCTCTCTCCCACACACAAACATATACATACATATATACATACATACATACATACAATATTATGAGATATATATATATACCAACTTAATTACCAAAAGGTAAAATATTTTGGAAATATTAAAAGGGTATTCTTGGCAATTTTCATTCGGCGTGCGTGGAAAAGGGAGCGTTTTTAACCGCTTCGTTTTTTTTTTTTTTACTGTATGTTTTGACCGCTCCTTTTGACCGCAAAAGTGCCTGTTCCCACTTTCTTTTATTTCTTTCAGTAATTTTGTCTTATTTACCTCCCTATAATACTGAAATTATTTATACCAAACTATATTCGTAAATATTAATTTATATTACTTGTTTATTTTATATATTTACGCCTGTACTCGTACATTTATGTTGATATATACCGACCATACTCTATAATTTTTTAACTATCATGTATGTATAATATAATATAATATAATATAATATGTATAGTATTAATTTGTAAATAGTGGTACAAATATGTCAATGGATGACGTGGGATGGGCCATTTTATATTGCTCTTAACTTAGACCTGAGTTGCTTGATTCAACTTTATAAATATTTTTATAATTAATTTAAAATAAATAAATATAACGTGTAATTTTTAAAAATTAATTTTATTTTTTATTAAATATTTATATATTTAAAAATATTATAATTTATATTTACCTTGTTTGTTTTTTAAAAATAAAAAAAATAATGAGACTTCATATAATTATTTATACAAAATATTAAATAATTTTTAAATAAAAGTATTTTTAGTAGTTACTATTTAAATTTTTATTTTAAGTTCGTAATAAAAAATAAGTCACGCGCTTAGATTTTTTATTAATAAAATAATTTTTAATTTCGTACACAGAATATCATAATTCTTCAACTCGATCGATATAGTTAAAATTATTTATTATTAAAAATTGTGTCAATTTATCACAAAATTAATAAATTGAGTTTAAAATTATTTTTAAAATAAATAATTTTAAAATTCGACTTATTTATCCGTAAACATAAAAATTAAATCTAAGTGAAAAACCGAATTTGATTAATATATGTTGAAATTTTAATATCATACATGCTATGCATTTAATTTTATTAAATTATATTTATTTATATATAATATTATTAGAAAATAAATAATTAAATGATATTTTAATTTATTCCATAAAAATTAAACATGATCGAGCTAGTTACTCGATAGTCTCTTGCTCGTTTAATCGGTTTTACTCGATAATTTAGTTTTTAATTTTAAAAATACAAAATTAATTAAATTAAGTGTAGATGTGAAAATGGATTTTATATTATTTGCGAAGTTAATGCAATTTTTTCCAAGCGTCACATAAAAATTTACAGCAGGTAAAATGTATTGTTAAATGTGATATTAAAATAAAATATAAAAATAAATAGTATTTTAATAAAAATTAAGAAATGGGGGAAATTTAATTTAAAATAAGATTTGAATTTCCACTTCACGCAAAGAGCCAATGGCAGAAAAAGTGGAAACCTGCATGGTGGACACGTGTAAAATTCAGATAAATAGAGGGGAAGGGTAGTTTGGTAAAATACTAATTTTTAATTAAAAAAATTATTTAAAAGAAAATTCTCCATAACTTAGCCAGCCCGGATCTTTCGCGACCTGGTTTCAGACAATTTTTCTTCTTCCGCAGAGCTAAAAGTCACCCCTCTTCCCATGTTTTTTTTTTTTTTTTACTATTAACATTATTAATTATAATAATAATATTATTTATTTTTATTAACAATTTAAATAATAATTTCTGAATTTTAAAATATTTAAAAAATACTCTCTCTCTTACTCTCTAAAACCTCTCTGGTTTTACGCCGGCTGGCAGAAGAAACCGCTATCTTCTCCCATTATAACCCAACACCTCCTCGTTTTATCTCTCTCTCTTTCTCTCTCTCTCTCTCTCTCTCGCTTTATCTCTCTCCATCTCGCTCGAAGTCATACCGAGAGTTACAGTAAGTTCTGGTTCAGACTCAGAAATCAGATATTGGATTTGCATGTAACGCTTGCCGTCTCTAGCTACTTGCAGCACGAGCAACTGACGAGAGTTAATTTCTTTAAGCTCATACGATTAAACGATTGGTTAATCAATCGGGTGTTTAGAGCTTCGTGATTATCGAATGCTTTTTTGTTATATTATATCCAGAATGGGCAGTTCTAAGAGCTGGAGCTCGTAACGGTTGAGGTGAAAATTTTCGGTTTTGTTGTGGTGTCTTTTTTTGTTTGTTTCCCGAGAGAAAGAGAGAGAAAATTAATTTTGGGTCTTTTTTGTTTGTTTCTGATCTTCAGGTTTTTTTTTTTTTTTTCCTTCGCCCCCAAGAGGTGAAAAGGAAAGGAAGAAAGAAGAGAGTGTTGCATACATACATAGAATATATATAAAGCCGCACACACAGATAACAAAAAAAGAAAAATAATAATGGCTCCAGCGACTAACTGGCTTTCATTTTCACTGTCTCCAATGGAGATGTTGAGGTCATCTGAATCTCAGTTCGTGTCCTATGATACCTCCTCTGCTGCATCTCCTCATTACTTGATCGATAACTTCTATGCTAATGGTATAGCTCTCTCCCCTCTCAATCTTCTTCTTCTTCGTTTTCTTATTTCATATTTTTGAAATTTCTGTTGGGTTTTTTTTCTTAAGATAGGGACTTCAAGTTATGCATCAGCGAGTTCAAACCTCATAAATATTTTCTTGTTTGAACGAAATCGTGTTTTGTGAATAGGTCTCACTGGTTTAATTTTACTGGTAAGAGTATACCCAATATGCCGATAACCGACTTTGTATATTTCTCACCAAGCTTAAAAATCTGCCGTCCCGGGAGGGGAGGGGGGAGGTGTTTGGTGTTTGGTGTTCATTTTTTTTTTTTTTTTTGTGATCGATTTTGTCTCTGGTTGCCGAGAAATAAATCGGGGGGAAATGCGAAGAAAACATGGAACGGTGAATCTGGAGGTTGTTTTGTGTTATTTTTTCTGTATGAGTGTGAAAGTTTGAGCTGTGTGTTTCTGATAGGCATCTTGCTTCTCTTTTCGCCTTTAAAAGCCATGATTTCAAAAGCAAAAATCCATTCGCTCTTTTTATTTTCTCGGACATTTTTTCGGCAACCAAACAGACGATGTTAGCAAACTCCGAACGTTTCTTTTCTTTCTTCTTTTTGGCAGGGTGGGGAAACGTTCCAAAACCCCAAGTATTCTTCACTGAACAGACAACCAACCAAGAGAAGGAAGCTCATCAACAAGCAGTCATCGCGGATTCTCCCATCCTCACCACCTTCATCGACCCACAAACCCACACTCAACCGAAACTCGAGGATTTTCTCGGCGATTCTTCTTCACTCGTCCGTTACTCAGACAGCCAGACCGAGACTCAGGACTCGTCACTGACACAAATCTACGACCACCAGACCTCCGCCTACTTCAACGACCCACAAGATCTCAAGGCGATTACTAGGTTTCAAGCCTTCTCGACTAACTCGGGATCGGAGGTGGATGACTCAGCCTCCATGGGCCGTACTCAGCTAACTGGAGGCGAGTTCACGGGTCACTCGATTGAGTCTTCGGGGAACGAGTTGGCGTTCTCTAGTTGTCCTACAGGTGCCTTGTCACTCGGGGTTAATAACACTACTGCCAATAACCATAACGCTAATAACCAGCTGAGTTCTGATAACGCCAAGGCCATTGTCTCAGTTGATAATTCAGATGGCTCTAAGAAGATTGCTGATACTTTTGGTCAGCGAACCTCCATTTACAGAGGAGTCACCAGGTAATTACATAATTAATTTCTTTTTTCTTTTCTGGGTATTACTTTATTAATATTGTTATCTGAAATTTATTTCAAGTTTTCTCGTCGTCTTCATTTCGCTGATTTGAATTTGATGTTGCAGACACAGATGGACGGGTAGATATGAAGCGCATCTTTGGGACAACAGCTGTAGGAGAGAGGGGCAAGCGAGAAAAGGGCGTCAAGGTATAATAACCCTCTTTTTTCAATTTTGCTCTTCTCTTTAAATTATTGTTTTTTTTTTATTTTTAAATTAAAAAATGGGCAATATTGATAATCTTTAAAATATAAATTTATTATTAATTAAAGATATAAAATTATATTAAAATATTAAAAAATCATGAAATAATTATGGTACCATTAGTCACATTGTCATGAACATAGTTTTTTATTTCTCTTGAAATTATGGATCATCTTGATCCTAACTATAGGAATGTCGATATCCCCCCGCCCGCGATATATATTATCCGAACTAACATTAGGGGTGACAACGATACTCGCAATTCCGCGATCCTCGGGTAATAAATCGATCGACCGTTTGTCTATTTTTAGAATAATAATGTTATCCACAATCTAGGATTATCCAAACTGATGACAATATTAGTAGCAAGCTGCCAGCATGAGACAGTCCGTTTCCAGTGGGAAGGAACTTTACTGTTGAAATATATATGACATATGTAGGGGAAATTTTTGAACAGTATATGAAAACTGAAAGGAAACTTGCATGCATTCAAAGAGAGCCATTATTACTAGGTCTCTGCGCTTCTGCTGGAGTGGTATAGGGCACTTTTGTTAGTCATCAGTCTTTTTTATTGATGATTGAAAGATACTGATGGTATGTATATATGTACAAGTTGTACTTTAAATTTTGTTTGTTTTATTTTTCTGTGCTTTTATTTTTCTGATAGACCCATTTCCTTTTCTTTTCATTTCTCTGATTGATTTGATCAGATGTGCCGCCATTTTGTTCATTGTCTTTCTCTCTCTCTCTCTCTCTCTCTCTCTCTCTCTCTCTATCATATGGGCCCTGGTGTTCTCTGCAAGGGGATTGCTTGATAGGACCAGCACCCACTACCCACAAATTCAATAGGCCCATACCCCACAAACACATATATAAAGGGCTTCATGTCCCAGAGACTTTACAGACATCAATATGACACAGTCTAAACGCTGTTGTATATAAGACTGCTGCAATCACTTCTGAGGTGGCTTTAACTTTTGCTTTTGCTTTCAGCCCCTAGTACAGGGAGGTCTAGGTTTGACCAGACCACCCATTTTGAAATGTAGGTTAAAAGAAGAAGGAAAGTAAATAGGATACGGATGCCCTCTCACTCACTCCTTATTAAGGACACATCTATATATGCATTTTCCTTTAAGAGGCTGAATTATGTAAAAGAAAAAAAGCTTTTTATATGGCTATATTGGTGCAAAATTTAATCCTTTTTTTATCTTTTTCACATTTTTACTGGGGACGGAGGATGATTAGCACACTAATTCTACCAAACTAAAAATTAGTCTTAACCCCAGCAAGTATGCTAGTAAGGAAACTTTGACTTCTAGGCGCAGTCCATAGTTCAATCCTTTAAATTCAGGGTTATAGAGATTTTTCTGAGATATCTCTTTCCTCTAGTGGATAACTTACTTTTGAACAGACTGATTGGAGACTTCCTTGCGTTGCATAAAAATTTAGTTGGGGATTTACTGACTGTTAAATTGGAGAAGGAAAAAGAAAGAACTAGTCATTGAGGTAATAATGTGAACAAGTTTGGGCTGCAAAAGGTAGTCAATTAGGAACGTGGATGAGTTTGAGGGGCCAATATTATCCTGCATATGGTCACGTTTTTCTTCTTGACTATGTTTAAGATTAATATATATATATATATATATATGTTCGTATAAGATAAAGAAGATAAAGAACCATAAAAGGGTGACTGATTTTAGATAATAAACTATTCATGGGTGTCAATCTTTCTTTAATATATTTTCTTGGAAGCAGGCTGTCAGATATGCAAATTAATCATATGTATCTTGCTTTACTTAATGTTTATTTTGCTTACATAAAATAAATTTCAGGCAGAAAATTTTGACTACTCTTTTAACCTTGTCATCTAATGCTGGAATCTTTGGTATACTTTTTTCTTTTTATTTTTGCATGAAATGTGGGATGGTGATGAATCTGGCTGTCACCTCAATATTGGAATCCGTTATCTACAGTATACCTAGGTATGTTAATTATACTGCTGTTGTTTGGCATTTTGTAATTTTCCCAGCTCTCAAACAGTTTGATTTTAGTATTTTGATTAAATGGTCTGATCACCTGGGGAGATTAATTTAATTCGTTGAAAATGTATTTTGCAATTTATAATTAGGTGGATATGACAAGGAAGAGAAGGCAGCTAGGGCTTACGATTTGGCAGCTCTAAAATACTGGGGTCCCACTGCAACCACCAACTTCCCTGTAATATATTCACACTACAGTGCTTACATACTATGTATAATATATTCTTGTTGATGCTTATGTCTCTGCATGAGAATGTTTACACGTATGCTGAAGCATGAAGCTATTTACTAATGAGAGATGTCTGTTTGCAGATCTCCAATTATGGTAAGGAATTGGAAGAGATGAAACTAGTAACCAAACAAGAATTCATTGCATCCTTAAGAAGGTATATGATATGGCTCAAAACTTGGGACCTTGTTTGACATTGTCGGTTTCTGCATTTAATTGGCCGAAATTGAAAGTTTATTAAAAAATTAATGATTATATCATTAGAGAGGATCTCATCGGAGTTTCCTGGTCTAGAATGTGTAATACCTAGTCATTCTTTCTTTTCGGTTTTATTGTGCTTCTTCTTCCTTTGTACTAAAAAAAAAAAGATTAATGATTATATTAATTTTAACACGAATCAACTATGTCATTGTAGATCACAACCATTTAAAGCCTACTATCTATTCCCCATATTTTTTTCTTTAAGGAAGAACTCTTCTAATTGTGGATTGATATTTATAGGAAGAGCAGCGGTTTTTCGAGGGGAGCTTCAATATACCGGGGTGTCACAAGGTGATGCTAATGTGAATTTGCTTAATTTTTATGTTTTTTCAATTTTTTATTGGAGGGTTTTTTAATCTTTCATATATTTGCTTCAGTATTTATAGTTATATATCCTAGTGAATAACATGCTCTTGAACCTTGTAGGCATCATCAACAAGGGCGATGGCAAGCGAGGATAGGCCGGGTTGCTGGGAACAAAGATCTTTACCTTGGAACATTTGGTAAATATATATATATATATATGGATACTTCATATCCAAGTAAATGAATGATTCTTAACAATTGGATATTCCAATAGGATAAATGAGTTCTGATAATTTGTTGTGCTTGTGTGTGTGAATAGCCACCGAGGAGGAGGCAGCTGAGGCATACGACATCGCGGCCATAAAGTTCAGGGGATTAAATGCGGTGACGAATTTCGAAATGAACCGGTACGACGTGGAAGCTATCGCCAAGAGTGCCCTTCCCATTGGGGGAGCAGCAAAACGCCTGAAGCTATCACTCGAAACGGAGCAAAAACCAATCATCAGCCATCCCGTCCAGCCCCAACCCCAATGCAGCAGCACCGGCAACATCAACTTCGCTTCTTCCATTCATCCACCATTCTCCACAATCCCCTGCGGCATCCCATTTGACACCACTCTTTACCCCCATCACAACCTCTTCCACCACTACCAAACTACCAACATTCCCACCACCCATGCTCCACTCCCCATCTCCGATTCATCGGTCTCCACTTCGACAATGCCAACTCCGATGACCCTTTTGCCGCAGCAGCCGGCTGAGTTTTTCATATGGCCTCCTCATCAATCATACTGAAGTGATGATATCATGATCGGGAGGTTACTCTCTTTTTTTTTTTTTTTTGCCTTAAATATAATCTGCAGTTATAGTTTTCAATTAAGCTAACTTTAGCAAAGAGCCCTTTTTAAATGTTGTTGGGATCCTTTCCAGCTGACCGAAAATGATCGTCTGTCGAGTTAAGACTTCTCACCTGTTTAACCTAGGCCAGATAGTAGGAAAAAAAAGGGTTTTGAGTTTTTTGTTTTTCTTCTTTGTTTATGAAGGGTAGAGAGCTGTCAGTTCCAATGGTAGGGAAGCTGGGTTTTGTAAGTAAAAATGGCTGAAACACCAAATGTTGAAAAGGGCATCTATTTCAGTTGCGGAAAATTTTTAATATTATATTCTCATGGTTATATATATATATATATGTGTATATATGTATATATGTATGTATTTCTGGCACTATAGCTATAGTTTTATATTTATACTTTGTTATTTATAATTAATTAACTCTATTTATTTGAAAAATATTAATTTGTAATTTTTTATATAAATTTGGTGATTTGTATAGTTATATATTATTTGTAAATCTTTTTTATTGCAGTAGTTATAAATTAATAAAAATAAATAAATATTTAAGTAATTAAAATATTTATATAAAATGATTATAAGTTGAATAAGTTTATTTTCGACAAAATAGTTTTCATTCTCGTGTGCACAAAATTCATACGCACAGAGCATGACTCTCGCACGGCAGGCAGTGATTGCGAGTTACGCCACCCGGCTGTGACTCAACCTAACTGCTTATTCCAAATCCTCAACCGCCGAGTCGACTCGTCGTCTCCGGTTCACCACCACTTTCAACTGTGTTTTCTTAACCAGCGCCTCTCCGCGCTCTTTGGCGGAAAGTAATTTCTTGCGCGGAGGGGAGAATGCGGACTCGAGCGATCTCAAGGCGGAGCTCTTGCGTTCGAGCAGATACGGAGCTACGGCTCTAGAGATGTGCGGCGCTGGATCCTCGGGAGAGAGAGAGAGAGAGAGAGCCGTGTCGGCTTCGCCTAGGCTTTGGGAGTGGACTCTCGTCGGCGGTGGCTTCGGCTCGAGTCAGGTGGTGCGATCCCTGAACCAGGTATCTTTAGGTTTGTGGATCGGTTCGGTTTTAAATATTTGGATTTTAGTGGAAAGGGGAAAAATAAAATAAAAATAAAAAAAGAAATATGGCCCGGAGGTGATTACGTCAGCTCAAAATGAATCTGGGCCGGGCCTTTCGTGGATGTAAGAAAGCTTTTGGAAGTGTCTTTCCCTGGCCCACTGGGCTAATTTAAATATAATCCTCTTGTTATTTAATAAATTAAAAACTGAATAATTAATTGTATTTGTTAATAATAATTTTCCAAGTTTTTTTTTTTTTTGAAATATTTTTTTAGAATTTAATTTACAAACAAAGAATGTAAAATATATTTATTTATTGATAATTAAATTATAATTTATTTTTTAAAATCATAATATTTACTTGTACAACGACAAAAAGGTCAAAGGACTCGGAGAAAGAGGAGAAAACAAAGTAAAAACTAGGGAGGTGACTTTCTAAACGTTGGAGTTGGTGTATGAAGTGTGAAGCACAGGGATGGGTAAAAAGTTAAAAAAGTAAAAAGTAAAAACTATATATATATATATATACATATAATATATATTTACATCAAATGGCACAATTTTTCATAACTTAAAGCTAAAGGGTATGCAAGAAAATTAGAAATCCATTATGAGAAAAATGAAAAAAAAAAATTAGAAACATAGATCCCTACTTGTCTGACCTTTTTGACTGAATGTCTTCTTGCTGGTTTATTATTATGTTTTATTTTTTACTTTTCACCAAAATCAACATTTTTACTGTTGCAGTTCATGCGCATGGTTCTTGAGTCCCAGTCCCAAGTCAATAATTTTATATTTAGAGACTATTTTTTTTTTTTTTTTACTGTAATTATATAGAACCTGTGTGTTTGTAAGCAAGTCTTGTTTGGGAAGAGAGAAAGGAGAAGAAGAGACAGAGAAACTAATAATTTACTGTTGAAGACTAAACTATCATATTCCTTTCTCTCTTCTCACCTTCGTTTCCACTCTCCCAAACAAACCCTAAACTAGTGCCACACTTCTCCTGTCATGGGTAGAGGCAATCTCGAGTGCCGTGTGCAAAAAATACTCTTGTAAATTACATTTTGGAATAGACCCATTTGCTGTTTCCTTTCACTTCTGCAACATTTGATTAATAAAAACTCTTTCCAAACATTATGAGATTTCCTCACTAGTTTTCTCCGTACATGTACAGCAAAAAAAAACAAAACTACTCTTCCAAGTACAAGCTATACGATTTAGAAAAACTCCAGCTAGAAATCTCCCACCTACAATGTCTGTCTGTCTGTCATGACTTGTACATACAAGGGTGCCACACCATTTACAAGCCAACACTGGTAATAACAAGCAGGCTGCAGCCCAAAAAAAAAAAAAAACAACAACAAACAACATTCCAACCAAATTCTCCACTTTACTCCATCACAAGCTGCCTGTGACGAGTGAGCTCGTCAAGGTAACTGGCGCAAGTATAATCTTGCAAATCACAACCTTCTAAAATCCCTGCCCTCCCTGTATTACATTTCTGCAACTCCAATGGCCCATCCTCTCCCCTTAGCAAGTGTACAACCTACCAAAAAACAAGTAATATATTGCATTAGATAAACATAAATATATTTTGCAGAAGAAAATTAAACCACAGAAGTCGGTTGAGGGTGTTGTTTGGTTCGTGAATGTTAACGTTGATATTCCTATCAAATATGAGAATGGAAAAAAATAAAAATAGGAAAGAAGAAATACCCGATTCATGCTAGGACGCATGGTGGCCAAGTGGTTTATGCACAGCGAAGCTGTTAACATTGAACGTCTCATTTCAGTGAGATCAAAATCATCTCCTAATCGAGGATCGACTAAGTCTTTTAAATTGTTTTTCTCCAACAGTGGCTTTGCCTGCAAGAAGAAAGGATTATCAAAAATGAACATGGAGTTGAAGGATTAGTTTTTTTTTTGTACCAATTCTAAATAATTCCCGTGGATTTTCGGAGCACTATTTTCAATAATCAAATTCAAGTAGTCACTAGAAAATACAATACCTCAGAATGAAAAGATACCCACATCACAAGTAATTATGTTATAGTCTCGTCAAGTATCAACTGTTCAAATCAAAATAGGTTTGAAAGAAGTAAGATTAGAGTGGAATCATACCCACATCACAAGACTTTGTCTGCTTGCTGTATCAACTGCTCGGCGACCCGTTATAAGCTCCAGCAGTAGAACCCCAAAGGCAAATATGTCTGTTTTCTCATCAACTATCCCATGCATGAAGTATTCAGGAGCTAGATATCTGAAAGTCATTTTCCGACGAACAATAAAATAAAAGCAATAAGTGCTAATAGATATATAGAACACATCACTAGAGATAGGTGTCTAACCCGAATGTACCCTCAATAGGATATACAATATGATGAGGCCAATTTTCTGGTAGCCACTTGGCCAGTCCAAAATCAGAAATCTGTAAGATTTTGGAAATAGATTTAGCGGTCAGAAAATATAGTGAACTTTTGAGCTTGATATTTGGCATGGAGGATGGCAAGTGTGTTAGAATTTCTACCTGTGCCTCAAAATCTTCAGTGAGCAATATGTTAGAGGCCTTGATGTCTCTATGAATAATTCTCCTCTGGCAATCATGATGCAGATACCTCAATCCATCAGCAACTCCGATAGCTACCTTGAACCTTATCTTCCATTCTAAACATTCTGTTGGACCTGAAATCCAAAATATTTTTGCTTAATAATCGGTTCAATCAAACTAAGAGAGAGAGAACAAGAGAGAGATGTAGAAAGATAAGAACAGAGGAATAGGCAGCAGTACTAAAAAGCAAAGAAGCAAGGCTGCCATGAGGCAAGAATTCGAGGACAAAGTGCAAGCCACAATCAGTGCTGAAACCGATTAAACGAGCAGCATTTTGGTGGTTTACGTGGGCAATAATCCCGAGTTCTGATAGGAAATCACTGACTCTGTCTTCTTCTTCCTTCTCATTACTCATCAGCTTCTTCACTGCTACAATTTCACCCTCTGGTAAGCAGCCTTTATATACCTCTGCGTTGCCTCCTTTTCCAATCATGTTCTCTACCAAATAATGCCCAGAGTTAAAGGAACAAGTCAAAAAAAAAAAAAAAAAAAAGAGAAGAAAAATAAACCAGAAGATTTTCACATAAAATTGCCTCCTTTTACTTTCAGTATTTATAATTTCTTTTACCTCAATTTAGTATCTGTAGTTTAACTTTTTCTATTATTTCACATAAAATTGTTAAATCTTTTTGAAGTTGTTTGTTTATTTATTAGTATATGTCCTGCATATATAAAAGTCAAAGAATACCAAATTTGAGTTTCTTCCATACTTGAATGGGCAATGGGTAGTTACACGTATCTTTAAGTCACCAATGACCAAATCCCAGATTGCCAACCTCCTTTAAGATTTTCACATTCCATGGGTCAACCCAGTTGGTCCTACCTTCACTACTTGCTTCCTTTTCTCTCTTTACATGCGCACATATAATACATATATGTATCTTTATGTATACATGCGCAGAGGAAATTGAAAAAGCAAAAAGCAGTCTTCCATGCAGATTCTCTTAAGTGGTTTACTTTGACTGCTCTTGTACCAGTTGCAATTGGAATGCATATGTTTCAAAGATGTAAAGTTAAACGGATGGAGCTGAAAACTGGAAATTTATATATATATAAAACATGTGTAATCTAAACTTGATTTTGTAAAAATAGAGATAAATTTATAGAATAAAAATGGATTTCATGAACTAAGTCGCACTTTCGTAGGTTTGGAAGACGAAAAATTCTCTTGATGGGGCTGAAATGTTAAGACTTTAGATTTTATAGCATGCTCAAGCGAAAAAAAAAATGATTGGTAACCGAGAAAAACAGAGAGAAAAAGAAGTTGCAGAAGGCGATAGCCAAAATTTGGAATGGTACCGGGAGAGAAATTATCAGTAGCGGCAGCAAGTTCTTCAAAACTGAAATTCCTCCATGAAGGCTTAGCCACAGACAAAGAAGCAGTCTGGACCTCATCCTCAGAAACTGCTAATTTAGCCATTCTCCTTCGCAAATTCTTCCTGTTCTCGTACGTTGTCAGCAGAGGAATGATTGAAAACCTTCTAGCGGACTTTTTCTTGATGGTGTCGATCATGTTCCTCCATTGCAGGCCGTAACCTTCCCGATTCGATTCGTGTTTCGGGGTCGAAGATTTCTCGGTGGTGGAGCAGGAGCTAAAACTGCTGCTGCTGCTGGTATCGGAATCCCCGTTCATCACCGGAATCTCCAGCACGCCCCGCGGAGATGGATCGTCGTGAATGAATTCCTTCTCGTCCGAGTCCAATCTCAACTCCTCCATCTTTGGATTTTCTTGCCTCTCCTTTTCCGTCTCTGCACAAAACCGAAGAAGAAAACGTCAAAGATAAAAAAAAAAAAAACAATAACCATACAATGGAAAACCATGGTGTTCTCTTCGGTTTCCCGAGAAAGTGTAGTAAAAAAAATTCAAATCCAAGTTTATTCAAATAACCCAAACTTCCTTTCCCCTCCTGCTTTTTCTCAGCAATCAAACAAAATATTGATACTAGAAAAAAGAAAAACAAAAAACAAAACGAATTCGTTTTAGAAACAGAGTTATTCAAATTTGCAATAGCCCAGTTTTTCTCAGAAACCAAACAGCACATAAAGAGCTAAACATAAAAGTAACAGAAATAATAATAAGCTTACCTTCCACAGCCATTATCCCGGCTTTTTCTAGACACTCTATAAATATTAAATCAATTCAGCTTTGAACAAAATCCAAGCCTCGAAATATCCAGAAAAAGACGATTAAATGCTTGGAGATCAAAAAAGAAAACTATCACATGTTGAGCGGGTTGTGTATCAGATAGAAAGAGAGAGAGAGAGAGAGAGAGAGAGAGAGAGAGAGAGAGAGAGAGTAAGAGGAGGAAGAAGAAGAAGAAGAAGATTGAATTGAAGCGAAAGGAATCAATAGAAAATTAATTCCAGTAAAAATGGTATATCTTTAGGAGATGGTTATTCTTAGAATAGCAGAGCAAGCTAAACCAGCTCGGCGATGATTTGGAATCTCTCCTCATTCCGCGCTATATTTATACAACACAACTTCCCTCCTCTGTAAAATTTATCTTTTTTATACACATCACCAAGACAACAAATCACCATGGGAATACAGAGGATTTTCTCTCTTTCTTTTTAATATAAAAAATAAAAAGAAAAATAAAATTCATACTCGACGATTAAATCTGACCGTTGATTTCTACGCTCGAGATTGTCTCCGTAACTGACGCTTGGAAAGACCTTTAACGAACCGACCAACGGCCGTTATATTCAACCTCGTTTAAGGGCAGTTTCGGTATTTCAAATGAGAAGAACGACTTTTCGTGATAACGACATTATCTAGTTTAAATAAAGTGTTGAATAATTAGTTTCCAGAGCCGTACGGTTTTGGCGCGCGAACCATCGACCATCCAAATATAATAATTATTTTATACTTTATTATATAGTATCAATTATACTTATAATGTATCATGCACAAAAATATTGTCTTAAAAACTATATATTAATGATAAGAATTATAATTATAATCATTATTATTAGTTAATTCAACGTCAAATTTAAATGAATTTGAATACGAGTAAAATGAATTCAACCATATACTCAATATGTAACTTATAATTAGTTTTTAGATATTATTCGAAAAATTAAATATAAGTTTGAACCAACATAATGTGACCATAACAAAATTAATTAATATTTTTCGAATAAGTTTTAATATTTATAAATTATGATCCCACATTTGCATTATATCGAGTTAATAAAATATAATACTATACAATAATAATAATGTGGAGTGTGGCAGAGTGCACCCTTTTTTTGGTCCTACAATGTTAAGTCATTTTTGAAACATCTCATCCTTCACACTTCAAACACATGCCATGTTTCTTACACTCACACAATTTTCAATTTTATGTTAGAGGGTAATGTTTATAAGATAAATTAAATTAAATTGCTATGTAAATAATCGTTCCTCGTGGGTAAATTTCGTGTTGTGATGAAATTTCCGATAAAGATAATGTATACGTGGTTGTAATTCTACGAAATCATAAATAAATTTGTATAGATATTAACTCAAGTGAAGAAAATAAGGGACGAAATTGTGATACAAATTAAACAATTTAGTCTCGATATTTAACAAGTTGAATTACGTTTTTTTTTTTTTAAGAATATGAAGAGTGGTAAAATTAGATAGAGTATTACGATTCGAACTGTGATTTCAATTAAATAATTTAATGTAAATATTTAACAAATTGAATTATTTTTTTTCTTTTTTAAAAATATAAAGTGTGGTAGAATTAAGTGAAAACAATATAATTCGTCAATTCGACAAAAATTATATACGGCCTAATATGTGTGAGTCGTCTAAATCAGACGTACTATACACTCAAGATAAAAATAGACTTTAAAATTAATTAAATTATACGAATTCTTATAAATTTATTTGAATTATCTTATTTCATAACTTCATAACTTATAATATAATCATACCCAATTTATATTGGGTTTAATTAAATAATAATCTTTCATTATTTTAAAATAAATATAATAATTTTATATATTATTATTTTAAACGGATGAATAATTACGTAATTAATAGTATAAATATAATCTAATATTTTTTTATATCTAATTACTTTTTCCTTTTTTCGATGTTTCATCATATAATATTTCACGTGTCTTAGATTTTTCAGTTAGTATATAATTATTGTTTCAATTTTACTTAAATTTTTTTTTTTTTACAAGTTCAATTTCTATAATTTTTTAATAAAATTACAACTTTTGTTATAAAAAATAGCTATTATTATGTTAATTCACGAAGGCACATATAATAATTTTGGGTTTTCTTTATAAACTTTTTTTTGGTCAGGCTAACAGTACCATTAGATGACATGTGTGGAACTTGGGATGACATTTTTCACATTAGGAATATGTCACAGTCAAAGTTTATATAGTATGTGTGTATATATATTTATATACACACACACACATATGATATGATAAATAACTATATACAATTTTATTAATTGCAAAGCAAAAAAAGACAATTGGGTCGGTCACGTCTGCTCACTGAATTCATTGTACTTTGAAAAGCAACATTTATATCAATAATCTCTTTTTTAAAAAAAAAAAAAAATTTATGGTCACAAAAATTGGACATAAATTAATCTTTATATATTTAATAATTTATACACGTTTTAATTATATAAAGATTATGATACGATAGAAATTCAAGTAAGATTAAATGGAATTTTTCGCTATTTAGTCTTTTTTTAAATATATAAATATAGGGATTAAATTATAAATTTTTAATTTGTTATAATTATAAAATTTATAATTCAGAAATGAAATTAATAAATTAATTTTTCAATCTTATTTTATTAATTAACGATTTAATTTTTATTTTGTGGTAATTAATTATAGTTATATTTTTATAAATTAAGATTATGTCACATGATTTAGAGAGTGCTAAGTGGGTAAGGTCACGGTTGAGTGGGTGAACCAAACACCTACAAGAAAGTGGGTTTAACGGAATTCTCGTTGACCACTTTTCTAAACCATTAGATTAATTAACTAATTACCTAACTAATTAAGTAATTAATTAATTAATTAATCACAAAGAGAAAAGTGCTTAGCGTTACTTGAGCCTTTTATTTGGAGGAAAAAAAACAAGTGATTTAATTGTATCTTTTAAGCAAAGAGCCCTCGTTGTCTCTCTTCTTTTTATTAAAAGGAGATGAAACCAAATCACACTTAAAGTGGATATTTTGTGTGGTAGTGTGCGAGATTGAACAAGTCGAAATTTAGGGATGATAATTGCATCGAGTATCACCGAATGAGTTTTGTTAAGTTTGAATCTGACCCCACCATCTGTGAATGCCAAACTCAAATTTAATCCGGACGTATGATTTGTCTGAATTTTTTTAAATTTTTCGAACTACGTTAGATTCATTATGATAATCTTTCTGGATCTTCTTGCTAGAATGGAAAGATGAATAAATATGGTCTCTTTCTATCGCCATTTTTTAGTTATTTGATACGAGATTTCTGTTTTCAGAAAAGAATTTCTGAATATCATAGACCTAAAATGAAATGGTTAAAAGTTACATTAATATAATTTAAAAAATAAAAAAATAAATTTGTTTAATTTCAATATGATATAATTAATTTATTTTATTAATATATAAAAATTATATTTATGAAAATAAAAATTTTAAAATTATACGTCCGTATATATAACATGTTATGTTCGAATGAATTTTAAAATTACAAATTCAATTCTGATTCGTCTATATTTTTTCATTAATTTAATTACGATCAGACACAAATGCATATTTTAATTAAAAGAATCGCATTAATTGTTGGCCTTCTTCTTCTTCTTTTTCCTCCTCCTTCTCCGACACTTCCCCTTTCTAGATTTTTCTTTTTCTATCCGCTACATTGATCTATTTCTTCTCAAAGTATTCTTCGTGAATGAAACCTAATCGCAATAACAAAACTTTCGACCGTAGGAAACAAGGTGAATTTTGGTCGTCTTTGTATATTTTTTCTTCAAAATGTGCTTCCATCAAGCAAACAAAATCGAATTTGGCACATGACCCCTTAACTTAAAAACCGTTAACTTCTATTAAGAGAAGAGACTGAATCGAAATTTTGTTAAAAGTACAATAATTAATTTAAGTATAAATAAATTATATGTGCAACAAATTATTATTTTTGTCAAAAAAATAATTTATAAAAATAACCCATCTCCATTTTATTTTTGTATTTCATTAAAAAAGAAGAATCATTAAATATAATTTACATATATATATATATATATATATATCATCAAATCACTATTTCTACTTCTTTCACTTATGTTTTTGTTGTGACATGATTTGGTAATCACCCAAAACTTTTACAAAGTGGGACAACAAACCCATAAATTGATACAACCGTATCAACTTTGTTTTACAGATGATACATATTATATCAACTCTGGGTTAGCCATGCAATCCACAAAGATTCAGCCACATATATATATATATATATATATATTAACTTGAAGATGTGAACACCTTTAAATTTAGTACTCCTTGATAAACTAATCAAGAGATCATAAGTTAATTATATTAAATTAACAAAGTATTAACGCGCTAATCAGTAAAATTTACTAAATTATTATAAAAAAAAAACTGAAATTAATACCACATAGCATATAATTGCACGAATTAATCAATTTCGAAGGGGACCTTTTCATTAGATGTAAAATGTCATTTTATAATCAAACAAATTATACGAGTCCGGACCGACAACTTAGCTACTAACCAACTAGTTTAATTTTTATGTTATGATTTAATGGCTAAAAATATTTTAATTAGTGTTTTTATAAATATATATTATATATATGGACATCAATGATAAACTAATCAATAGATCATAAGTTAATTACATTAAATTAATAAAGTATTAACGTGCTAATCAGTAAAACTTACTAAATTATTATAGAAAAAACTGAAATTAATACCACATAGCATATAATTGCACGAATTAATCAAATGTCATTTTATAATCAAACAAGTTATACGAGTCCGGACCGACAACTTAACTAATTTAATTTTTGTGTTATGATTTAATGATTAAAAATATTTTAATTAGTGATTTTATAAAATTAAGCGCAAAAATGTGTATTATATATTTATGTATAAATTTAATTAATTGTAGTTGTTGTGAGAGCTTGGAACACCGTTGGGTAATAATAGCAAAGCCTCAACTTATATATACAACCAATATGAATGGCACAATTCTAGTGGGTTATGGTAACATGTGGTTGATAAGAATTGAAGAGCATGGGCCACTTTGGTACCCTATCCACATCAATGGAAGTTCCCAAAAATTAATTTTCGTATTAGGGTTTACATTAAGTTGCGTTTGAATGCGACTTTTAATTTTAATTTTTATATTTGAAAATTAATTTTATAAAAATTTAAAATATTTTAATAAAAATTATAATTTAAACATACTTTTAATATATTCAATAGTATTTATAAAATTTATAATATAAGTTGTAGTTACTGTTAATATCTACTTAATTTCGAGAGAAACGACGTGTTATTAGATTAAATTATTTTATATTCGATTTTATAGGTGCATCCACGTTCACAATATTTAGAAATTAGTCTACCAAGCACAATTCATTATTATAAGAACTAGTTGAAAGTTTTGAAAATATATTATTAGAGTATTTTTATAACAAACAAGCGCCTATAGCTCAGTGGATAGAGCGTCTGTTTCCTAAGCAGAAGGTCGAAGGTTCGACCCCTTCCTGGCGCGATTTTTTCCTCCTAATTTCCATCTCTTTTTTTTTTTTTTTTGTTATTTTGAAATAAAAAAAATGTATTTAGGCATGCAAGGGAAGAATGAATTATATAAAAATAAGATTATTCATTGTAAATATACAAATTTTCTTAAGAAAAATTATTTAAAACCTTGTAAAAAAAATTTCATATGTCACAAGCATTTTTTAAAATCAATAATTTTTCTTAAAGTTACGATCTAACATATAAATTATATTACAACTTTTTTTAAAAAAATTCAAGATTACTAATTTTTTAATAAAAATAAATCAACAATATCACTAACATACTAATAAAAATAATATAATCTAATAGGCTTATAAATTTAAATGTAGTTTTAATACTTATATATATTTTTTTATATATAAAAATTTGTAAATTTGAATATAATAATTTTTTGTGTATTTTAAAAATTATTTTTATTACGATATAATTTGATGTATTATTATCTACTACTAAATAATTGGATAAATTTACTAAAAAAGAAAGAAGAAGAGCTTTTGTATTTAAGCCGGGGGCCATTTTTATTCTTGGAACTTTTCTCAACCCTTTTGACTTTTTGGAGCTTTTGACCATCGTTTCATCATCACCGCTGATCTCTTCGCGTCTTCCCCTGTCGAAGACTGAAGAGTGAAGAAGAAAAAGAGGAAACAGCGATAGAGATGGCTTTGCTTGGCGATGACGGGAAAGGCTACGAGCTGGCCAGGAAGCTCGAGTCTTGCGGCGTCTGGCGCGCTTGGCTCGGTGATTCTCTCTACTCAGGTTTTGCTCATTTTCTCTCTTCTTCGTCCTCGTGGGAATCCTTCATGCGTGTCGATGACTCCAAATCTAGGGCTCAGATCCAGCTCCAGCTCCGGGCTCGTGCTCTCTTGTTCGACAAAGCCACCGTCTCTCTCTTCCTTCGATCCAACCATAATCCTAACCCTAGCACTTCGTCGTCGTTCTCCGCCTCTTGTTCTCTTGCTGTTTCGAGGCTAAACAATAATTGTGAGTAAAGTCTCTGACTAATTGTTAATACTTTTTTTCTTCTTTTCCTTTTGCGCCTAATTTTATTAGGACTTTTGGTTTCGATTCAGATTTGCGGCTGCACGGCGACGACGTCTACTTCACGCTGGAGAATGGTCCATTAAACGGGGTACAGCAGCGGGAAGGCGGTTTACAGTCTAATACAACGTCTTCCAAGGTGAATTTGTGTACTTCATCCCTCTGTTTCTCAGTTTTTTGTAACTAGTGGCATTTTATTTTTTATTGGCTGTACTGATGATGAAACAGAGCTTAAAGAGTCAGAATTCAAGTATAATCGGTCAGGTTTGGGGATAAATGCAGTTGCCTTTTGCATTTAATTGGTGCTAGGTAGAGAGGTGATTCATACCATGATATAGCAGCGGCTGTGATTGTTATAATGTTATATGCCAATGTG